AAAATTTGAAAAGTGTTTATTTTCTTTGAGATATTAACAAAAATATATTAAATAAGTCATAAAGCATAAATGCTAAATATTATAAAACTAATAATAAAACTATTTCCAAATAAGTATACACGCTATTTCAAAAAAACATATGAAATCGCTGGTGGGGTGAATCTTTTCTCAAAACTAAAATAAATAGTTCATAATTACATGGGTGTACAGATGCTTTGTTTCAAAGATGAAATTTATAATTAGTAAAAAAATAGAGGGAAATTTGGAAAACATTCGACAGTATCAAAAACTATAAGATAACGCCGGGTAACAGATAGGTAACTTTGACATCAGAAATAAAATGCGAACAAATAAATTCAAAACATCCTAATGTTCATTCAAGGTAACAATTTGCACCTCAAACTTTAAAAAAAGCTGTAGATGCTAATCTCTGGCCTTATAGGGCATGTATTAGTCGTTTTTTATTTCTACGCCAGAGAAGCAATCACAGCAACACTTAATTTTTAATCCACAACTATTCTTGCTAAATATTAATACCATTATTAATGACAAAATAATTTTCTTGAAAATGACATTTATCTTCTTAAAGATCTCATTATTTTATGTATAAATGAAATTGGTATTAAAGACGATTATCTAAATTTAATTAGAATAATTTTTTTTAAATTAATTAGCTTTTACTGCAGAACAAATTTAAAATATGGAGGTATTAGTATTTGGATGAACAACTTTGATAACGTGAAATGTCCACATTCTGTATAGAAAAACACTTCAAAATATGTGCTTTATCCTAAAAAGTTAATAAAATTGTTCATACTATTTTAAGTTGTTATCGATTTATATAATGTTGGGTTCTAAAACAGTGCTGTTCCTATAGTGGCGCTGGGAAACAGTAACAAAGCCTAAACAGAACACGAGGCTAATAACCTGTCCCTTAATAGCAAGGAACTCTATCAGGAAACTTCCATGGTGGAATGATGACCTTGCTATACTAAGGAAACAGGTGAGACAAAAATTTAATAAGGCTAAAATAACCGGCGAATGGGAACTATATAGAACCATACGCACCTGTTACAACATAGCCTTACAAAAAGTCAAGAGAGAGTCTTGGAGAAGGCACTGTGAGGAGATAGCAGGCACTCAAGAATGTGCCAGGCTCCAAAAAATTGTCTCAAAAGACACACAACACACATTAAACACCCTTAAGAATGAACGGGGGGAGTACACAATCACAGCGAAGGGAAGGGAACTCTTTAGGGTTCACTTCCCTGGTTCACAAACCATAGCACACACACCGGCTAACCGGAATCTAAACGGACTGGAAGCTCTTAATAGAGCCAACAGGGAAGATTGGAGGATAGCCAAACAAGTGGTGAAATATAATAAACTGAAATGGGCAATTAGCTAATTCCAACCATATAAATCACCGGGTATGGACGGGATTTATCCAATATTGTTATAAAGAGGTCCTGATATTTTATACAGCAGACTCTGTAACATACTCAGAAGTAGCCTGGCCTTTGGACACATACCAAAAGCTTGGAGAAATATTAGGGTAACTTTTATACCAAAACCTGGAAAAATAGGACAGACTTAAGACTTTGAAAAAACTGCTAGATATGCATATTAGAGACGGGATATTGGTTCATAGGCCAAATCAACTGAAACAGCTCTCCATATATTAATAAAAGGAGTGGAGAACATACTGGGAAACAAGGAGGAAATGCTGGGAGCATTCTTGGATATCGAGGGTACATTTGACAATACATCCGTTAAATCGATCATTAGATCTCTCAAACACAGGAATCGAGGACACGTGCGTGTCCTGGATTGACTCTATGTTAAGGGAGAGAACTATATACACAACCCTTATGGGAGAGACAATAGAGGCACGGGTAGCGAGATGATGTCCACAAGGTGGAGTGCTGTCTCCACTCCTGTGGAACCTTGTAGTGGACGGGCTGCTTAAGGCTCTCAAAGATAAAGGACATAGAACCCTGGGATATGCCGATGATCTAGTGATCATAGCACAGGGAAAATACAACACTATAGTAAGAGATCGAATGCAAGAGGCTCTAAATATAGTAACAAAATGGATAGAGGTGGAAGGATTAAACATTAGCCCCCAAACAAATCTGACATAATTGCATTCACCCGCAGGAGGAAATTGGAGGGACTAGGGCCTCTAAACTTAAGAGGTGCAAGCATTCAGCTTAAGGGGGAGATAAAATATCTCGGGGTTATGATTGACCCGAGACTTACCTGGAACCAGCATCTAGAAAAAACCACAAGGAGAGCGGAAACTTTGTTAATGATGGCAAGGCGATCCTTTGAAAAAAAAAAAAAAAAAATAGGGGTTAAAACCAGACATGGTATATTGGCTTTATAACATGGTGTTGAGACCGATAATAACATACGCAGGTTTGGTGTAGTGGCCAAAGGCACAGCAAAGGAAAGCAATAACTAGGCTAAGCAAGGTACAAAGACTTGCCTGTCTCGGAATAACGGGGACAATGAAAACAACCCCCAACAGCTGCAATGGAAGCACTAATAGGACTCCCACCTCTTCACTATGTAATACAAGAGGAGGCAAGATTAGGTGCTTACAGATTAGGGAATATACTGGGAAATCTTGACATTAGGCTAGGTCACATGAGTATTTCGAGGTTAGTGACAGAAGACGTGCTAGACATGAGATTGGACCACATAACCAAGAGGTACTCTTTTAATACTCCATTTGAGGCACTTAAGGCCATATCGAGTCAGAAAGTTACGTCGAGGCTGGTATGGGAATGCATCGAAGAAGTAGGAACACTTGCAGACCGAAATAGAGTAAAACTATTTAGAGTGCCAGGTCATTAAGGGATAGAAGGCAACGAAAAGGCTGACGAACTTGCAAAAATAGGGTCAGAAGAAACACCAGAACCAGACACAAACCCAGGAGTACCAACAAGTACAGTTTGGGGTTTCATAAACGACTGGATTCGGAAACAACATATTAACTATTGGGGAAGCATTCCAAAACAGGCACATGGAAAAGCCTTCATATGCAGACCATGTCCCAAAATAACTGGAGAACTACTCTTTATAAATAGGAACCAGTTGAAAGTAATAACAGGGTTCACGACTGGGCACGCCCCAGTAAAGGGTCACTTGAACAAAATTGGCATATACAATGGGGAACTCATGTGCCGACTATGTCACAAGAAACCAGAAACGGCCAAACACATACTGTGCGAATATGAAGCTCTAGATCGCAAAAGACAGGCTCTTTTTGGACAACCCCAGGTTGATCCAACAACGTAGGTACAAAGGTGACAGAGTGGGTGCTATGAACTAACATGGGGTAAAACACACTAAGCCAATAACAATAAGCCAATCCCAATAAGCCAATACGCTTCAGTGTTATTCGAAGACATAGTCAGACGAGCCCAGGGGAAAAAAAGAAATATGAGATTATTCAATGACTTTTCAACGATGAAAATACTTTTCTCTTAGCTGGTTTTGTCAAAATTAGAATATGACAGTATTGTTTGGAGTCCGACATACTCCAATTGCATTAACCATTTGGGCAGAGTTCAACAAAGATTTTTTAAATCCGCTCATCTTTTAAGTGATGGTCTATCGCATAAGAGAGCTTTCTCAAAGTTATTATTTAAACTATTTTAATATATGTAGTCTTTTAAAAAGAAGAGCAATGCAGTCAGTAATATTTCTGTTCAAGTTATTAAATAACAAAGTGGATTGTATTTCATGTTTGGAAATGTTAAACTTTCACGTCCCTAGAGTTAATTCCAGAAGAAATCAACTATTCTATCAACAAGCACATAGAACTAACATATACAAAGCATCGCCTTTATTTTAAATTATTCTAAACTATTCGAACATTGAAGATGATATAAATATTCTATCTATCTATTAAAAGTCAAATTAATTTGCGCAGTAATTATTAGAGGCGGAAATGGATGCATCCTTTTTTCTTTTGTAAGTTTTTTTCAGGATGCACCCGTGTCTGTTTAAATTCGTGTTTATATAGATTTAAGTTTATATATGTATATAGATAAGAATAATCATTTATGTTAATTTCCAATTCTTGTAATATTCCTTTCCTTATCCTGTAATTAGGGGCAACCCTCTTGGATATTGTAATAAATAAGTAAATAAATAAATATAACAATTGCTAAATTATTTAAGTATTTTTTTTTAACTTTAAATTTATTGATATTAAAAGGCCATACTTTTTCAATTCCTATTAATATTTTAAATTACATTTTGTTCTGTATTTAAATTTAAATGCACTTTTTATTTTCTCTGTATACCACTAAATACTTTACAAATTTTATCCTTCATTATTGATTTATTATTGCAGAACTTTTTATAAATATTCTTTTTGTAAAATTAATAATAAAAAATTTCCATTTCTTGTCAACTTTTTTTAGACATGTCAAACAAAGTAGATTAGACAATATTTAACGTAAATCAATAAAATCGTGTCAATTAAAGCTTATTCAATAGCATTTTATCGCGACCCATTGTTACGCCGCTGCGTAGGAGGATAATGGGTAATTCTAGAAATACATTGTTGCCAACCGACCACAACCCTTCGATGAGTCACGATCATTTAAAAATTGTATAGTATATGAACTTCTTGGGGTTTCTGAGCTGATGTTCTGCCGTAATTTTGCTTCGAATGCTTGTCCAGGTAATTTGTGAGTATTTTTTTATTTGTTCTTTTGCTTCAGATTAATAGTTTATTTCAAAAACTATTAACATGTTTTATTGGAAAAATAAAATAATCCCAAATTATTGCCATTGAGCTCATAAGATTAAAAATGCGTACTTTCCTTGTTTGAGATTGCAATACTTACAGACTAAGCTTATTGTTAGACTTTTATCTTATTATTAAGGCAAATATGAATTTTTTTCTGTAAATATTTTAATTATAAAACAAAGTGAAATACTTTATTTAAAACAAAGATTAAAGAACCTTAGTTTAGTGAATACGATGTACAACAATTAGTTAAACGTTTATATAAAGAAACAATTCCTGTTTAAATCAGTTTTATTGATTTTTTAAATGTATGCTGTATATTTAAATCCATAATGCGTGCAATTGTAGATGTAGGAAAAACATGGCCACAGTACGTGGCTGTTATGACAGGTTAGTATAAAATTGAAAATACTATTATTCTGGGTAGGTATTGCATTGGAAAAAATATCAGAATGGTAAAATAATGATAAACTAAGGGTTTTTAAATATTATAAATATTTAATATAGTATTTATAACAGTCAACTAAAACAAGTAAATATCCAACCTGGTAGTCTTGTGATTTGATAGTTATTATTAAAAAAGCATTACTTTTTAAAATTTTATAAAAAATCGCAAGCTTTGATTTACAACGATATAAAAACCTAAGACTAATTTTATAACTTGCTTTAGAAAACAACAAAAAAAATCCCTGGAGTTGTTGGTTGTATATTCAATGTAAACAAAATAAAACTAAGATTCCTGGGAATATGATACGAGGGTTGCCTTTTATATTTCGGGATTAGAGAACAAAAACAAATATTAATCATCGAAAATCGCTTTATTATTTTTCAAAATATTCTCCATGAAGATCTATACACTTCTGCATACGTTTGAACCAATGGTCGAAGCACGTTTGCCACTCTGATTAAGGTATCTCCAAAACATGCATTCTGAATGCATCAACCGCTTCTTCAGGCGTCGAAAAACGTTGACCTCTCAGTTTATTTCTTACGTACGGGAATAAAAAGAAGTCATTCAATGCGGATGACTCATCACATCGACGTTTTGAGTGCACCAAAATGCAGTTGTTTGAGGCGATGTGTGAGAGCTCGCATTGTCGTGATGTGTGATTCGTCTTCACCGGTTGGATTTCCTCATTTCTTAAAAGCAACTGGCAAACAAATGGTTGTGTACCACTCAGAATTGACTGTTCTGCGTTGTTTTAGTGGTACAGTGCCGTCATGTCCAGTTTTTCCGAAAAAACAGGCGATCATTTGCTTAAAAGTGCTTCGTGCGCGAAGAACTTTTGTTGGATTTGGCTCATCGTGAAACACCCATACAGTCGAATGCTTTTAACTTTCGGGCTCATACGCGTAAATCTACAATTCGTCACCTGTCACTATGTCATAGACGTGCATCAAAGCATCGCGATCGTATTATTTAAACATTTCTTTTGACCAATCGACACGAGCCTATTTTGAACGATTGACAAATTTTGTGGGATCCAACGTGAATAAATTTGTTTCACAGTCAAATGCTCTTGCAATATTGAATGTATGCTGATCCCACTAATGCCTAAGGTTGTCTCAATCTCCCGATAGGTCACATGACGATCTTTCAATATCAGTTCGCGCACGACATCAATGGTTTCCGGAACAACAACTGATTTTGGACGACCTTCACGAAATTCGTCTTGGAGCGAACTACGACTTTGAATAAATTTACCATACCATCGATAAACACTGGTCCTTGATGGAGCTTCATCGCTAAAAATTGAATTAAGTTCATCGATGCACTGTTGCTGAGTTAATCCACGCCGAAAGTTGTAAAAAATAATCGCACGAAAATTTTCACGATTTAATTCCATTTTTTGGCCCAGATGAATCTTTTAAGTTACTGTAAACAACACAAATAGCGCTCGAATGACGCATGACCTCAAAATTGTCAAACTTTACGACAGAGCTGTCAGTTGCCAGTTTGCAATACCAGGATTGTCCAATCTTGAAATGTTAAAGGCAACCCTCGTACAAGAACAATAATTTAACCCCTACCTAATCTATTATAAATGCTTTTGATATGCAATTTAGTAGCGTTTTTAGTGATGAATCTAATGACGAGGATTCTTGATACAAATCTTAGCAATTTCCTTCATATTACATATCTTAAAATCATATAATCAACGCAGCTGATAAACGCAGTTAATAAATTAAAAAAATGTTTGTAAAAAATTACATAAACCTCTTGTCATTTCCATTTTTTACGTATTTAATTTTTTATGTTATCTTATGTTGGGAGTGGGGTGTTAATACATTGCGACCTAAAAGATCTATTGTACCCCCTTCTGTCGCTAATGCAGCAAGGAAATGTCTCAGTGCCTACAACGACCCTTTCAATTCCATCTTCTCAAGAAAGTGTAAGATTTGGACTGGCTATAAATTAGGTAAATCTGCGTCTTTTATTTATTATGCTTCTAGGTATAGCGCTCTTGGATTCTGGAGTGCTACACATTCAATCAGAATGTGAATGGATGTTTCGTCCTCTTTCTTATTAAATTTGCACTCACTATCTTGTACTACTCTCAGTTTACTAAAATGTCCTTTGAGTCTACAATGCCCAGTAAGAATTGCTGTTACAATACGTAGCCTGTTCTTGCTTAGGCAGATATAGGCTTACGATCTCTTCTGGTTATATTCACCTAGAAGTATCTTAGCCTGTCTTTGGCCCAAGATATTGTTTCAATTATTGTTTCGTCTACTTTCCAATTCTTTTTTAATGTCTCCTATTACTGTGTCAATGCTGATACCGCAGAACGGTTCAGGTCCCACAAAGGATGTTTAAGTCTCTTCCTTGCAAGACTATCTACAATCTCCTTACCCTGTACCCCGGTATGTCACGGAACCCAAGTGAGAGTAACTGTATTTCCTCGCCTCGCTCATTCAATTTTTCTAGGCATCTCTACACCATTTTTGAGCTAATTACGTAAGGACTGGCTATTAATTGAAGATGATGATAATCTCTTGCCTACGATAGTTTCTCTAGATGTTAAACTGGATACATTTCTCAATGGCGTGAAGATGCTTAGATATTTTTCCACACTTTCAGAGTGCCTGGTTCTATGCCTATACACTCCTATTCCAGTTCCTTCTATGGTTTCGAAACCATCCGTATACCACTCAATAGCAAGGTCTTTCGGTTTTAAGAACGATAGATTCTTGACTCCATTCTTTCTTGCTCTGTGATTTTCAAGTTTTTCATAAAACTGTACTTCTCTCTGATTTCATCTTGGGGCATATTCTAAGTATCTTGGGTCCTGAGCTAATAGACTTTTGTCTGATTATTCGGTTCCGGATCATTCTATATCGGTCTTTTTCACATTCTCTATCATTAAATGTAGAGGGGTATATTTAATCGTTTACTAACAAATTTATTCAGACATTTGGTAAAGCTTCCGATATATCAAATTATATTTCCATGTAAAAAATTCAATTACAGAATATCAACATTACTTCTGAAACTGAGACAATTTGGTGTTTCAAAGAACATTTAATAGATAGACAATTATTTTTTGAATACGAGGGTGTCAAATTTATTAATTTCGTATCCACGTCAATGGTTTCTTAGGATTCAAATTTGTATTTGAATTATTTGGTATTTTTATTATTGTCATTTATAGTCGTATTAATTATAAGACACTTTTGTTTGCTGACGATTTGAAAATTTATAGGGAAATAAATGATACCTCAGATTGCATTGCTTCTCAAACTTGCTTAAGTAGCGTAAACTACCTTTAAACGCTAACAAATGCAAAGTACTGACTTTTTTCAGAAAAGTAAATACTGTAGCGTTTATTTATTTATTTATCTAGGACAGTTTATTATTTATAATTTGTTTACACTAGATATTAATTATTTATACTTAAGAACTATTTATATTTTACACTTATAATCTAATTTATTTAATAATTCGAATATATATCTTCAACTGTAGCTCGGCTGCCACTGCTCTACCCACATACCAACCTCTTTATAATACATAAATGAGCGCTCTGGTAAATCGATTGAAAATATTGGTGGTATCGCGAACCTTTCCTTATCTGTTGAAATAACCAAAAAAGGTTGACAGCTGTGTGCACGTAGTTTAGATTCAAAAGGAAAGACTTGTATTTCGTGCAAAACTTTTTAATTAATAAATGCAAAGCGCTTTCGGCTTATTAGCCATCATCAGTGCTTATCTACAAAAATTGTGGACATAAACTTACAATTTCAAAAATATAAATCTGATTAAGACTTTTAAGTCAAGAGTTAAAATTGTATATATACGGTTGTTTGAACAAATTAACAATTAAAAGATACAAACAAAGTGACAAAAATCCAGTATTGGGAATAGTGAGTGTGGGATAAGCCCTTACAAATCATATCTGATCTCCAGAAGCAAGTTAGCTTGTGTGGAATTAAGAAATTATACCACCTTCACCATTCGCACAATTGAAAACAAGTTAACAAATTAGTTAAAATTTAAAGAAATTTACGACTGTGGAAAATATATTGAAATTTGAATCTAGAATAAAATAGTTAATATGAAGAAGGTTAAACGCAGAAGACCAAAGTAAAGAACTGAAGGTTTTTTTTTATATGTATATACATTATAATAATAAAAAAATTCTAGCTACTGTCCACAATGTATCCAACAAGTTCCTGGTCATCCTCACTCCCAAAATTAGATATTTCGGGATATTTACAACTTGCTAAATCATATTATTAGTATTATTAATATTTTCAAATTTAAATTTCTTTGTCTATTTATTTTTATTTTTATTCGAGTTATTTAACCGTTTCCACATGACAGTGGTGACAAGCGACACTTAAAGACGTTGACTTGTCAAATGTCAAGAGAGGAGGTGCGTTCACCTCAGTGTGGAACATGTTTCTCCAAGTGTGACTCGAGTGATTGGAGGTGGTTAACGGAGATCAAAATTTGTTAGTATTGACCAGATAGAAAAGGCAACGTGATCCAACTTAAAGTTTTAAGACTTCCAGGAGCCGGTAACTGACCTTGAAGTTCTGATGATCGACTCAACCTATTTCGGAATATATATGCCAATCCTCGTGCTTTGTTGATGCTAGCGGAAGTACTATGGATCAGCGAGTATTTCTTTGGAACCGTGAGTAGATGTTGTTGTTCGGTTATAACAGCATAATAATGTCTTGCTTCTCTGTTACCCCCATGTGCCAATAAATTCTTCAAAGACAAGATCAGTTGGAGTTTGCAGGAGCCGGTAACTGACCTTGAAGTTCTGATGATCGACTCAACTTATTTCGGAATATATATGCCAATCCTCGTGCTTTGTTGATGCTAGCGAAAGTACTATGGATCAGCGAGTATTTCTTTGGAACCGTGAGTAGATGTTGTTGTTCGGTTATAACAGCATAATAATGTCTTGCTTCTCTGTTACCCCCATATGTGCCAATAAATTCTTCAAAGACAAGATCAGTTGGAGTTGCTTCTTCTTTTTCTTCTTCTTCTTTTTCTTCATCTTTTTCTTCGTCAAGTTAGCTTCAAATGACGCCAGCCGGTTCTGGTATGCTACCTTTGGTTTATAGTTCGGGATCTCACATAAAATAAATGACAACATTATTTTTTTCTTAAGACCTTTGGAGAATAACCCTTTTGTCTTTTTGGGTTATGGAGCCAAACTTTTTTGCCGTCCTTGAAAAATCCTTTTGAAGCTTGAGTATCTGATAGCTTCTTCATCCTGTCGCTGGTGATTTGAATATAAAAGCAAACCAACTTATGCATATCGTTCATTATTCTTCGTAGATGAATCACATAGTCTTTACCGACTATGTCTTCTTTAGGCTACTTTTAAACTCGAGGTCGTACGGTAGTCTCATATTATGTCCAAACAGGACTTTTTCTTCGTGTTTGGACATAAGTTAAAGTGTCTAAAAGGTTCGCCACGGCTCCAGTACTTGTAATGTTTCTAGAAAGCATTTCGCACCTTCGTTATTTCTTTAAATTCTTCATCGTTTTTGTACATTCTATAAATGATTTACTATGACTAGCCATAGGCGTATCATCGAAGGAGTGCTAAATTATTCATTTAATTATTCTTTGGTGATCGAACAAGTGGGGCCTTAAAAGCTCAAAAAACACAGAGGGAAACTTAAAGGATTTAGAGCATTAATAGATTGGTCGGAAATGGCTCGCATTACAATACTGTTCTGAATATTGCATAGATTTAAGTGTCTTATTTTACAGCAAATTGACTTTTTCGGAACACATTGAAAATACTTTAACAAAAATCTTGGGTTTTGTTGTTAGAAACTGTAGGAGACTTAAATCTTTACTATTTCGTTTATTTATTTTTCACTAGTTTGTATTAAACTCGAGTATTGTAGGTATGTTTGGAATTCTAATCATTTAAACCACAAAAGTGTAATAGAAGCTGTCCAAGGAAAATGTTTAAAATTCAAGACACATACATACAGGTCACTGTGACTTTTGTGAGTATGGGAAAAAGATGAGAAATAGCGGATTTGATATGTATTTATAAATTAATGAATAATTCTACAAATTGATATTTTTTGCTATCTCAGTTAAATTCATCACTTTCACAGTCCTTTAATTACCTACAATATATAGAAGTGTCAATCAGTTATTTTGTTGATTTATTTTTCTTTACCAATTTAAAAAGCATTGTTACAGATTGGTATCCAATTAGGGTAATTTGCATAATTTAGTTAAATAAGTATTCTCAAATTTTGTACATTTAAACATATACATATACTTCTTTAATTGGGCTAATAAAGCCTGTTGGATAAATATATAGATAACGTGATAAAGGGTATTTAAATGAGTTTTTTATAACAATCGAACCACAAAGTATACTTTTTTGGATATTAAGGTTGTGTCCAAATAATTGGTCAAAAGGAAACTTAAAACTGTGTATCATCTAAATGACACCCTGTATTACAGAATTTGTAAAGTTTATTAACATATTTAATAACGAGTGAACCACAAAAAGTGTTCATAAGTAAGTCATGAACGACAAATCAAGAGATACTAGTCATGTCTGTGCACGCCTCTAAATTAAATCTAAACGAAAATTTAAAAAGAAGACTTGTACGATCCGACATGCATGACTTTTTCCATGACCTAATTTAAAAATGTTTTTTGTGGATTTACTCCATATTTGAAAAGACCACAACTACTTGAATCATGCAGAGTACTTTTAACTATTATCTAAAATCTCTTGTGTTTATTAAACTTTTAATTTGTAGCTTTAATAGCAATGGTTAATGCCGGTATACATTTTGGTTGGCCTAGTCCTAGCATTCCTAAAATTTTATCCGAAGAATATGTATTCAGTGTGAGTTCTGAAGAGGCTTCATATATAACTATAATAGGTAAGCATTAAAATATACAAGCCAACGTTTTCTCGTAAATAAGGCATTTCTCATTGGTTTCATAAATAGCTATTAAGTACAATAGTTGTGGTAAATCATTTCTTTTCAGCGAGTTAATGGGATCCCAAAATCGTCCATTTGATTATTTGGATGCGAAATAGAAATATGAATTTTTAGTAACAGATTATTTATGCATAGAGTGGTCCAGTAAAAGTTTTAACAATTTTGAACTAATGTGGTGTAGGTTGAAGCGATGCAAATCAAATTCCTATCTAGATAACAGGGTACCTATTTTTAAACTTAGAACTCATTTCTCTTAAGATTTTCACGAGAAATGTCATACGTCAATGTGAAAACAGTATTTTTAAAGCCAGTGAGGCTTAAAATTCTTAGGAGACTTTTAATTCTCTCAAAACAGTCAGTGAATTCTCAGTGGCTTTAAAATACTGTTTTTACGTTGACGTATGACATTTCTAACGACAATCTTAAGATATTTCAGTTTCTCTCTAGTTTGAAATTAGCACCCCTGGTGCACGGTTCGTAGACAACACGGTGGCCTCATCACGATTGTTAAGGACGCAGTGACGTCGCGGAAATGAAACGACAGAAAATATGTATTTTACTTGGTCTCGTACATTAGTTTTTTTTTAAAAATCTAATATTTTATTGTTATTTAGTGATGTTTATATTTTTATTTATGAACTTTGTTTTGGTGTTAGAGTTTTTATAATACCAGTAGTTTCATTTTTTGAAAGATAAGCTACAGAACATCAAGGAAAAATCATCTAATGAGATCTATCAAACTAAAAGAACCTACATTATTAAAAAGAAGGGTTTTCTATAGAAAGTTTTTAGTAAAAAGTAGTTTCTAGAAGAAAACAAGGACCCGTTGGACTTCAGATAAAACTACAACGTATATTTATATCAGAAATAAAAGATATATTTTGTGAGTTTCTAGGATGTATGAACAGTATAATACAGTATAATTTACAAAAAAAAAAAACAATAAAACAACAACTCAGTTTTATTATAATAATCTATAGATATAGGGGCCAAATTAGAAAAAAAAAACAGTTTTTTCTGTTGTGTACATACAATATACACATAGATACAATATATACATACAATACACGGAGGAGATATTATATATTGTCATGAAATTCCTATTCCTGTGTACGCGCGACCCCTAGATGGCAACCGACTCGTGCTCGAGGCGACGGAACGTTCAGGAATGTCGCTGATGCACTAGAAACGGCTAGAACGGGCGGAGAGTGCCATTTAGCCATAGATATGGAATTTTCAGGAGCCTCTGGAAGCTACGAGCACAAAATTGGTTTGATATAAATAGCCGACTTATCGGCGCACAGTTTAGTTTTGTAGAGAACATTGTAATGAAAATTTAAAGTGTAATAAATAAATTAGAACTATTAGTTAGTGTCTAAGTATTATATAAATTAAATAGTACGTCATAAATAAATTGTAAATAGTGTATTTTAAATACATAAACTATAAATAAATTAGACTATCGTTAATATACATGGAGTACTTAAATAAATCATCCAAAAGCCCATATCTCAGATTTATTTCAGCAGTGTACTTTTGTAAGTTGAAACCCCAGCAAGGGAGACTTTACAGTATTTCTAAGGTAAATATAGCACCTTTTACTTAAATATCTTCTCATGAATGCTTTACAATCTTCTTAACTCTGAACTGCTTTTGTTTTCTTCGTTAAAATGATTTGTAACTATGTACTTTTTACTAAAAACTTCCAGTAGCAAACCCTTTTTTTAAAAGTGTACGTTCTTTTAGTAAAGCCCTTTCGATTTTTTTGCTCTCAGTTGTTTTTGTTTGTAAGAAACCATCTCAACTGCTTTAAAATGTAGGGGGAACAAAGCTGCAAATAATTAAATTGAAAATAGTAAATGATATTTGCAGAATAATTACTCTAAAATCTTACCATTAGTCTTTAATTTCAGTTTAGGCTCGGACCTTTATTTATTCTAACGATTATTGTGTGCAAACAGTAAAAATTGTTTGCCAACAGCAAAACTACGGCTTATTCCAGGCTTGCTAATATTTTAAAATATTTCGGGATATAAACAAAGTGTGATCCGAATTTAGCAATGAGGTCGTACCCTAATCCAAAATGTTTAAAATAAACCATTCACACAATAATATTTCTCTTTATAATTCAAATAAAAAGTAAATCATTTGAAATTTGATGGAAATCATTACATGATTTTTCCATGCTGTTTTGTAGCTTGTCTTTCAAAAATTTAAATTACCGATTTTATAGAAACTCCAACACAAGTGTATAGTTTAAAAATAAAAATATAAACACCACTAAATATAATTAAAATATTAGATTTTCTAAAAAACTAATGTACGAACTGCAGCAGAATATTTTCCATCAACTCGATTTTTAAATCCGTGACGTCACACCCTTCCTTGGCAACGGACGACGAGGCCATCGTGTTGTCTACGAACCGTGCCCCTGGTGTTGACTGTGTTCAAACTTTTTATGTTAGTAACAGTGATATTTTGTTCTTAAAAATTGGCAACACCGAAATTGTCATTCATCTTTCATGCCATGTCTTATGTCACTTGTCAATATGAAAATGATTCAATTAGGCATTCCAACGACCTGTCCAAATGGCTACCAGTGGGTAATGACAGTTTAGATATGGCAACCCTGTTGTCATGTTGTCATTAACAGGGTCAATGATACATATATAGTTATATAGATTGCTCAAAGCTGGTCGTTTACGAGCGGCCATATTGCCTGGCAAATATTTATTAATTTGAATCGGTTTAGCAAAAATATGTTTCAAAACCAATTTTTAGCCTTTAGATATTTAAAAAAAATAATTGCTTACATTTTTACTTCAAGACATACGCTTATGTTTATTTTGAAAAATATGGATAATCATTCTATGTAACTATCTATTTCATTGACCTTGTCAAATCACCAGGTCTACAGGGTTGCCATAATTTTGCAATATCATAACCCGTCAAAGCCCACTGGTAGGCATTCAGTTTGGAATGCCTAATTAATACACGTTCGTTTTTGGTTCATCCTTTTAAATAAATGGACATTATTGTTAAAAACTGTTTTAATTCAGCGTGTTACGCGTCATCAATGCATAATTACAAATTCACAGAAGAATTAATCATTCCTACAAGACATGTCATGACAGTCTGTTCAATAAAAATACGAAGAAAGCACTGATAAGTTAATCCCAGTTATCAACAATATCCACTAGAAAGAGTGTGACAACCACATGTTAGGCAATATAATATACGTATGGAATACTTCAAATTAAACGTCATTTGATAGTTTCAATTATTGAAAACAATTTTATTATAATAATTAGAATGTCAATTAAAGTAAATGAATTTTAACCTAATTTGTATCTACCAAATGTAAGTAGCTATTTCCACCCTTCAATATGTTAACTTATTTTAAAAAGAATTGTAATTTATGTAGTCAACTTTACAACGCATGTAATTGATAGTGTCTATATAACACCCCAGTTTAAATAAACGACCCAACATATCTAGATAGATTAGAGCTTCTTAATTTTGAATGTAGTCCTTCAATTTAGGGTTCAAAAGTGATGTTAAAATATCCCCCAAATTTGGGACCGTTAGATCCGGTGAATAAGGCAGCCGTGACATTTCTCTAAACGAGAAATTATATGGTCGAACAATTCCATTATTTTTTCTTTATTATAGAAATATTTCTTATTTGATCAATACCAACCTTTCTTTTTATATAGCCCTACAAATAACAATGAAATCTTGAGGGCTACTTTATGTTTGTAGTACGTGACGGCAAAATGATAACTATAATCCAGTACCCTGGTGTGCACCATTTTGGATCCACACGTTATTGTTGTTTTAACAAAATGAAATATATGGCGTTGCTAAAATTTCTGGCAACAAAATTTTTTATTTTAAATTACTATTTTATTATTTCGAGATTGCGAGGAGTTAAATGGGATTATCCCGTAGGGGGGGGGGGAATGTAACCACACCCGAAATTGATGTACATGTCGTCCGCGAAATAAATAATGTAAAAACGCCTTTAAATATTTTTTTCAAATACAGGGTGATTCAAAATTAAGTGCAAAGATTTAAAGATTTTAAGGAAGTATTTACCAGCCAAAAATTAAATTTTTTTTCATATAATTGCGTGGGAACAAACCCTATACGCGCTGGATGTGGTATGAATAAAGACTATTTTGATGTAAAACCCTCCAAACTGTCGATTGACGAAGGTTTAAATCCCGTGCAATTTTCCTCAATAACTTGCAAATTTCCTCTTTCGTTACCACGTTGCGGACTTCACGCGGCCTACCAGCATTAATTCTGGTAGTTTGGAATCTTCCAAAATCCCGAAAATGCCGATGAGAGTTTCTGAAATTTCTGCAGCTGCGCAGCCGACGATAAGGAAATCTTAACGAGTACATCCTACGAGCTTTAAGCCCGTTTCCATCAGCCAAACCATAAACATAATGAATGTCTGCAAGGTGCTTGAATAAAAATGATTCATTTCCCATTTAAAAAAAAAAAGAAAAATGAAAAACAACCACACAAAAATAACTAAACCGACGGTAAACACTAAAACGTAAATAATGAAAAATGTTTCATTGTTTAGGAGAAAAACAAAATACTGCTAGCAAAAGTCACAGTCCCCTAGGTTTTCTTTAAAGTCATTTTCATAGTAGTTAGAATTTTTTTTTAGAAAATGAAAACAGAATTATTAATTAAATAAAATCACACTTTGAGACGCCACTGGAATATTTGGCGATAATCTCCATCATTAAGTAATTAATTTTTTACTTGTTTTAATAGGGCCAGGCACAGATTTAGATTTTTTTTCGAAACAAAGCTAGATAAGAGTAAAGTAGAGTCAAGAAAGGTACATTATTGGCTACTTAATCTAAAAAAAATTGTAATTGTCAGAAAAGCAATGCCGTACCCTTAGATTATACAAA